AAAAAGCGAGATTTGGTATGTTAGTATATGACAAATTCTGATTGATTGGCGTATTCAGTTGTTTTCGGTCACTTCCTGTTTTACAGCAAATTACTACAACAAATGGAACCCTCGTTATTTTGTTATTTTTTTGGATAGAAAACGACCCTCTGAATAGAATGACATATCATATGTCAACTTAATGTAATTTTTTTGAATATAATAATTTTATAATTGTTTTATTTCAGTCTTGAATAAGTGCAAATATTTTCAGGGCTGGTAGATCTCGATAAAAGCAGCATATTTTCTGTTTACTGTTTTTTATTAATACATCCAAAATAACCGAATTACCCAAGTTGGAAAATTGATTTATTTCTAAAAAAAATTGCAATCCACCAGATGTAGTAACCATAGGGTAAAGCCTTAACGATGGAAATATCAGAGATTAAGAAATAATACCGCTCGAAAATTTGCGGTGTAGTAAAAATATACAGGAAAATTTAAAAGAAAATGCATGATTTTCAATATTTTTTTGCGAAAAAAACCTCATAGATGTTTTCCTGAAATCGAAATATACCACTCCTAAAATTATTTGCACTTACTTAGAACTCACCCTGTATAAGTCACAAAAGCAACTCAAATCAAACAATACCGATGGGATATTGATATTCCCCTTTGAATAAGAAGACTAAGGAAGGAGCATAGCAAAAATCTTAGGTACACCGCGATGGGCCTCAAATATGGCCGACTTAAATTCCGGTTTATCAGTGTCGTTCTAATTTTATTTAAAAAATGTAAAACTATGATGTAGGGTAGACGTGGGGTAGACTCAATAACTTGTTGTTTTATTTTACGTTGTGAATAAATGTTGGTAGTTATTAAAATTGTTATAAAAATATATAAGTTATAATAAGTATTTATTAACACAAACATCAGATACGCTACTGAAGCAGATAAGTCAAATTAACGTATCTAAATTCTTTGACATCTAATCTTTGACAAGTAATAAATAAAAACTAAAATGCAAGAAAAATATATAATTTAGTTAATTTAAGTGAATTTCATAAATGGTCGGTTTACTACACGTATGTATATTATATAGTCACTTACTAGCGAAAAGTTGTTCCATTATTTCACTCAATTTTTGCCGAGATCTACCGCACGCTACACAACCAACTATTTTTAAAGTCTTTTCGGATAAATCGCGATAAAATCACTGTTAATTTAAGTTCTGCCACAATTTCCATTTACTAGTTATTATACAACTATCAGTAGTAGAATAAATACAAATAACATAAAATAATCTCCGTAAAGACTGACAAATCCACAAAATTTCAAATCAAATTCAAATGTGTCAAATGAATCGTCAAACAGAACTGTCAAGGATCCCCACCCTAGAGAGCTTTTATGGTGGCTTTTCCGCCCACCATGCATGAATACATGGATAGCATTATGCTCCTTCCTTAGTCTTCTTATTCAAAGATATTCCCTAAAAAATACAATATGTACTTTAAAATCGATTTGCTTCTCTATAGGCCTGTATCTCGAACAAGAGAGAAAAAAAGATATATTTGCGTTTGATACACACAGAATTGGAAATAAAAGCACAAGAGCAAACAGTTAAAGTCGAAAATCCCTCCGATTCTCCTGAGATGCCAAAAACAAATATGAAAAAAATGCGGATATCCTCCGCTGAGAGAATCTGGAAAAATACCGGATCCCTGGATTATTTTAAATGCCAGAAATTGTTTGATTGTAATACTACTAGTAGACCGATATTTTTTTGCAGATGAGAGATAAATTCTTTTTTTCAAAAGAGTAAGTATATGATACAGGGTACTTCAAAAAACATGTGCCATCTCTCGTGGGGAGACTTCTCATGTTAAAATAATATTTATAATATAATAAGATACATAACAATATCACTGATACCGAAACACATTTTGGGTTACTAGAACAACACAAAAAATATAAGAATGTTATTGAAAAATATATCCATTTCTGCTGCCTCAAATTGTCTAAAATAATCTCTCTTATTGGAGTTGAACGTTATAAATGATATACGCTATAGAATAAGCTTTTGGGTTGATTGACTTTTTAGTAAACCCTAGTACGGGTTTGCTGTACGATCCAGAAAGTATTATCCTGTCTCTGTAGCTGACAGGTAAATAATTCATTTTGGTAACAACAAATTTACTAACAAATACTACGAAACTTAGAGTAAATGAAAAAGAAATATCAAGCTGACAATCGGGTTGGAAACTCTCTTTTCTCAAATTTTCTAAAATGTATATAATGTAAGTTTTTGAACGATTACAATATAATGATTGATTCAGATTTTATTATCTGAATATCAAATTAAGAATAAGTAAAATATAAAATATCAATATGATATTTTCAGGATGAAAATAACTCACCGGCAAAAAAAACGCCCATTAAAAACTAGTCCCAATTTCAAAGTTGGATTTCTCGCGAACCACTCATTAGATTTTAATGATTTTTTTTTAAATTGTAAATTGATTCCTTCTTAACGTCAGAAATAAAAAACTACGTCAGAAATTTTTATTCCGAATTTATTTTGAGCACATACAGGGCACAACAATAAGACGAAGTTTTTTGCTCGAAGTTTGTAGCACCCTGTAGGAGGCAGCAGCTGTAGTAGCTATTGCTAAATCAAATTACATTGTAGCCTCATCTTTTGCGAGCATTATCTCTATTTATATGGGAAATACTCTGTTTTAAAATGAAAGTATCGGCAAAACCGCGATTCATTCGTGAAAAGGACTTTAGTCCATTGCTCCATATCTCAATTCACATGTAAACGCGCAAACTGAACACGTGCTCGACGATGTCTTGGAAGTAGCTGGGGTCTTGTGGCAGGCCTTCTTGCAGACAAGCTGTTTTCTTTTAGTCTTCGACGGATTGTTCTCCCACTGACTTGAGTTCTACGCACGGCTTGTAGCAGATTCTACGATTTTGTAAAGTATTCAGACAATAAAGCGATCGTCAATTGCTTTTGTCTTCCGTTTTCTTCCGGAACCCACTTGCCTGGTGAAATTTCCCGTTTCCAGGCATCCTGGACTGTTGTTCGAGGTATACCCAGGTAGAGGTGTGTAGTTCGTGAACGAACTAGTTCCAATGAGCTATTCCGACCCCGGAATGAAAAGAACTAGTTCTTGGTTTCTCAAAGAACTAGTTCCTCAGGACCTATTCCGGGATCGAGACTGTGACCAATATATAATAATATGCGACGGCGACGGATCGGCCAGTGCGCGTAGCCCGATGGTAGGCAGGAGTGGGGAGTGCCAGCCGTACGTTATCGGATCCGGACCTAGAGGAACTAAATAAAAGACTAGTTTACGTACGTACGGATCGGGCCAGCGCGATTGATGCTAGGCAGGAGTGGGGAGTGCCAGCAGTATGTTATCGGATCCGGACCTAAAGGAACTAGAGGAACTAAATAAAAAACTAGTTTACGTATGGATCAGCCAGCGCGATTGATGCTAGGCAGGCGTGGGGAGTGCCAGCCGTATGTTGTCGGATCCGGACATAGAGGAACTAATTAAAAGACTAGTTCACGGGAATCTAATCTGTCGGCAGATCCGAGATATAATACAAGGCGACGACGATGAATTTGGCCTTATCTATTGCCACAGCCAACCACAGAAAATTGCCGTGGATACTGTTTTTGATTTTTAGTTTGTTTTTTAAATATTTTCTGGGAAGGTTTCACTTTAGGTCCCTAAAATTAAGAAATATCTTATAAAACGAAGTAGATATTCTGAATTTTTAGACAAAAACAAAAGGCTTGAAGTGAGGAAAAATGCAAGTAAAATTTTTGTAATATAGTTTTTTAAATTCTGATTTTAGTTTCTTTATTATCTTTTTTATCTGCAATAAAAATTACCTATATGTTTTTAACATACACAATTACATCTCCCGTACATTATAAAAATTATACAGATCATACTGTGAATAGTTTTGACTGACAACAAAACGCATTAGGAAGCAAGGGGGATGTCAATGTTAATCGGAAACTATTGTGAACTAAAGACCTAGTTCAAGGAACTATTCCTCTGGAGGAACTGGAACTAAGGAACTAGTTCCTCCCAAGGAACTAGAATTCCCACCTCTATACCCAGGTTATCGGACACATAACGTTGATTTGGGCCATCCTCAATTAAGGGCCATCCTCATCCGTCACAGATAATGGCATTTTTTAATTTGACAACCGTTGTTATATTGCAAATACTCGTAAATCCGTTTTCGCCTATGTCGTCTTGATTATTTACACATAAAACTTTCTGCCTACGAAGCATTTTTCCCAGTCGTTCGTTTTAAAGGAGCATATCTCCAATACAAACAGAGATAACGTCGTGATTAAAAAAATAAATTTGATTATTTTAATTTGAGAACAATATATTTGTTTTTTAAATAATATCAGTACTTAACCCCAAAATCTTAATTAACTTAAAACAACGAAAAGATTGATTGCTTTATATATTTTATAGCTTTCAGCTATAATCTAGAAAGGTTTACGATTATTTTATGTATTTTTAATAGAAATTTATTCGAACTTAAGCCACTTTTAATTGGTTTGTAAGATATTCGTCGCCATTTAAAGGATTTTAAAGCATTTTCAAAGCAATATTTAGAGATCTAATGCAATTAGAGATTTCCGTTTATTCGAAAGGATCTTAGGGAATTGCATTCGCTTTAAATGCTGAAGAAAAACGACGGTTTTGTTATTTATAGTTTATGTAAAATTCCTTAATTTAGATTATGTCTTGGAAAGGAGTTTTAAATACAAATTTTCTAAATTAAGACTTCAAATAAAATTCTAGTGATTTATTACTTCTTTATAGTTTTAGCCGTTTATTAATTTATTATTTTAGTTTGTTTCATACGATTTTTTTATTAAGTCTATATCTCTATTCAATATTTAATGTTTATATTTTATAGTGAAAGATATTGAATTCATAAAAAATGTATTTTACTAACAGTAACTTTTTATATTGCAGGCTCAATCAGCAATATCGACGGTGCCGAATATCATTGTAACAAGACCCAGGTGCGGAAAGTCATCTCGGGTGTGATCGGAGCTGCTTCTAGTGTCACCTCCATCCAAGTTGCCAATCTGCTACGGTTATTTAAGATACCGCAGGTATGTGCCACCAATAACATTTTTCCGTTTTTATTTAAATATCTGACTTTTTTTTACCGCGGCAATTTTGAAAATGAGGAATCATATTTTATATAAACTCACCGGCAAAAAAAAACGGCCACTATAAACTAGTCCCAATTTCTAAGTTGGATTTCTCGCGAACCACTCATTAGATTTTGACGATTTTTTTTTAAATTGTAAATTAATTCCTTCTTAGTCAGAGATGTTTATTCCGAATTTATTTTGAGCATATACAGGGCACAACAATACACTGAACCAAAAGTCGACATAAATACAATGAAAAAGTTCATTAATATAATGAATTAAATCATTAATTTTGAGCCGATGAACGATTTCATTGGCACAATGAAAAGTAGTGGTTTGTGAGAAATTCAACTCTAAAATTCGGACTAGATTTTAATGGCCGGTTTTTTCTTGCCGGTGAGTGTATTATGGCGTTCGTTGTTATATTTACCTTCTTTCAATTGTTTTTTTTTATTTACTCCTCATTTGGCATTAATCTAAACTCATAATTCAACCATCTAATTACTATGCAATTAAGGTTCATTCAGAACCTCCCAATTAGTGGAATAAATTAGTGGTTTTAAACATTTATAAATCCATTTTCGTAATTTACTATCTATTGTTTATTATCAGTTTCGTCATAGGTATCTTATAAATTAAGGTGTTAAATTACGAACAATATACAATGAAAGTGCTGTTGGCTATCAATGATCATGTAACTATAGCGTACAAGTAAAGACATTATAAGGCACCTGGGAACTATAATAATGCTAATATTTGCCATAGACCGAACAAGATTTACGTTTCTGTGCGGAATTCGGGTTACCGTTAGCTACATATATGCACAGTTCCAATACTGACATTGTTTTCATTGTTATACTATTCATTAAAAAAGTTAAACTTGTATGCAAATATTACGTGAACATTTCTACAGAAATAGACTGTTAGGTATGAGGGAACTTTAATAATTGGTACTTATTTATATATATTTAATATACAGGGTAGACCACTGAAAACTTACAATGGCTATAAAATTATTAATTATTAATTAATAATTTAATAAAAATTATTAAAAAATATTTTAAACCAAAAAAGATATACCAAAACAAATTATGCAATGGATACCCCAACATCGAAGTGGAACGAGACGTGGAAGACCTAAGAAGACTTGGAAGGAGGGTGTCACAAGAGCAATGAGTGCCAGAAATCTAAGCGAGGGACAATGGAACGATCAGAAGACGTGGAAGTTAGGTATCGGACAACGTCGCAAGACGTTCTAAACCGATATATATATATATATATATATATATATATATATATATATATATATATATATATATATATATATATATATATATATATATATATATATATATATATATATATATATATATATATATATATATATATATATATATATATATATATATATATATATATATATATATATATATATATATATATATATATATATATATATATATATATTGCCAATAATAATAAATAATATTTTTCTTGCCTTTAGCTGTGTATTTTTTCTAATTTCGAAAAATCGGAAAGTAGAGAAAAATAAAAAAAAAAAAAAAGTAAAGAATTGTTTTGCTTGTCGTAAAGGGGGAACCAAGCTCCACTCCCACAACCGGTTTCTGGGCCTACCCTTCATCAGGTGGGCTGTCAGGGGCTGGTTCTCACCGATACGGCAAGCAAAACTTCTATATCAACAGACGATGTCGTAAAGTGTCGGTGAGATATTAGTGCATCTCCCGTCAAAAGATGGTAAAGAGCGTTTCGGCCCGCTCAAATATGAAATGAATAAAATTCTTACAGCTTTAGTGTATATTAATAAATAATATTTTTTTTTAGCTGTGTATTTTTTAATTTCGAAAAATCGAAAGTAGAAAAATTAAAAAAAATAAAAAGTAAAAAAGAAAATTGTTTTGCTTGTCGTAAAGGGGGGAACCAAGCTCCACTCCCACAACCGGTTTCTGGGCCTACCCTTCATCAGGTGGGCTGTCCAGGGGCTGGTGCACTAATACGGGAGAATTTGACGGGAGATGCACTAATATCTCACCGACACTTTACGACATCGTCTGTTGATATAGAAGAAGTTTTGCTTGCCGTATCGGTGAGAACCAGCCCCTGGACAGCCCACCTGATGAAGTAGGGGTACCTTTCTGGGTAGGCCAGAAACCGGTTGTGGGAGTGGAGCTTGGTTCCCCCCTTTACGACAAGCAAAACAATTTTCTTTTTTACTTTTTTTTATTTTTTATTTTTTCTCTACTTTCGATTTTTCGAAATTAGAAAAAATACACAGCTAAAGGCAAGAAAATATTATTTATTAATATACACTAAAGCTGTAAGAATTTTGTTCATTTCATATATATATATTGTCAAGAAAAATGGCGCATCCGCCAGAAATTAAAAATGTATTACTGGTTGCCTGCACAACCGCAACGTATCCGCCAGAAATTAAAAGACTTTTTCAGGCGCCATCTTTTAGTCAAGTCGAGAAGTAAGGGAATCAGACAATAGAATTGTCTGGTATGAAGAAGTACGCTTTCCCGAGAATTGGGGAAATTTCGAGAAGCAGTCAATAGAGTATATAAGCCGGAGCCATCGACAACTGAGACAGTTTTTGAAATTTGAATATACCGCGTGGAAATTGAAAATCGGACAATTTGGTGAAGGAATCTTATAAATAGTTAGTTTGTTGTGTATTATAAGTTAGTAATTGTGTATAAAGTGAGAAAATAAATTCGTTAAGTATTTTATCGTGAGTTTAAATTAGTGGACCCACGGAATCCGTAACAATTGGTGTCAGAGGTAAGGATTCAAAGAGGATTTTAAGAAGAAATTAAGTGGATTGGACGATTTTACACACCGAATTTGGGAATTTTATGGTTGGTACGAGACAGCAAGCGAGGAAAATGGAGGAAGTAAGCAAACTATTGGGCGATTTTATGGAGAATATGAGAAGAGAGAAAGCTGAAGAACAAGAAAGACTACGTAGAGAAAAAGGAAGAGGAAAAATTACGACGTCAACAAGAACAGGACCGGCTTGAGAACATTTTCGAAGACTTAAAAATTCAACGACAACAAGATAAACAAGAAGAACAGGACCGGCTTGAGAAAATGTTGGATAATTTGGAAATTCGTTTGGAGGAGCGACGTCAGAGAGAAAGCAAGAAGAACAGGACCGGCTTCAGAAAATTTTTAGAAAATCAGGAAATTCGACTTCACAAAACTTCGAGGATATAGGAAAATGAGCAACAAGCAATGTTGGAAGTACGTTGTCAGGAACAGCAGAACCACTTCCAAGAAGCCGTAGAAGATCTTGAGGAACGCCTTCAGCAGAAGATAGAAAGATTGGAGATGGACCTACAGAAAACCAAGGTACAAGTAAGGACACCTGGCGTTCATGGAACTGCGGACCTCAAGGCCCCGACCTACGATGGACCAAACCACCTGGACGATGCTTACCACCGCCAGTTTGAAGCAGCGGCTGCTGCCAATGCGGATGGACTGACCAGGAGAAAGCAGCGGCACTCGTCATCGCGCTGCGTGGCCCTGCCCCTGGAATTGCTACAAACTATTCCTGCAGCCCAACAGCAGGAGTACGAAACCTTGGTTACTGCATTGGACCGAAGATATGGCGACCAACATCGACGTCAACTTTACCAGGCCCAGATCAAGACACGCATGCAGAGGTCCGGAGAGAGTCTGCAGGAATTTGAAGCAGACTTACGTCGGTTGGTACACCTGGCATATCCAGAAGCACCGGAAGGGTTTAGGGAGGAACTCGCCGCCCAGTGTTTTATCAGCGGATTGAGGGACAACGAATTACAGAGGGCGCTACAAATATCACGATTTTCTACCAGCAGCGAAGCACTGGTCAGGGCGCTGGAAATCGAAGCTGCTTTTAGCGCCATCCCTAGACCGAAGATAAGATCGGTAACGGTCGAGGAACAGCCCGAAAGCACTCACAGAGGTTTTGGAGGAGATGTAAGAAAGTCGACAAACTATGTGAGCTACTAATAAACAAGGAAGTCAACAACACCCAGACAGAGAACCAGAGAAGATTCCAGGACATAGGTGCTTTAGATGTGGCAGGAATGGCCACATCAAACGGGATTGCCGCGTTCAAATGCGATTCCGTTCACCATCCAGAGAACGTAGGCACCAGGAAAACTAAAATCAGTCAATACTAAGGGGCGAGTATTGACTGGGGAGAATAGGAGCCCCCAGATTTTCCATTAGAAGTCTAGGAAGAACCGCTGACAGTTTGGTGATCGACAGGAAAGTCAATGGAAAGGGAACTGAATGACAGTGGACACTGGCGCTATGGTTTCGTTGGTGCGGGCTAACTCCAGTGCAAGGATTGAAGCTGATGCCTCTGAGAAGAAGAGTATGTTTACGTACAGTTGGGGGAAATGGCCGTTGTACGGGAGAGGCTATCGTCGAACTGAAGTTAGGAAATTTGAAGTTCAGCATAGCGTTTTAGTAGCAGATATTGAAGATGACTTCATCTTGGGCATGGATGTGATTCGTCAACATGGATTTTCGTTCGATCACCAGAGAAATATCCTGAATATCGGAAATGAAAGAGTTTATGTTATCTCCAGACGAGGGACCAGGAAGAATGGATGTAAGATCAGCGGAAACTGTGGTGATACCTGGTAATACTCGAGAAGATCGTATTCGGTAAAGTGGAGAAAATCGCTGGGTGCTGTGTTGGACTGGTACAAAGTAGCGACAAGAAACAAGATAGGTACCCAGTAGGAAAATCATTGGTGAACACCGACAAGAATATACCGATCAGAATTGCGAATGTTTTCCCGAATTGTGTCAAGATCCGAAAAGGTGACAAGATAGCCATCTGCGAACCTGTAAGAAGTGTCACCCGGATGTGATGAAGTGTCGTCAGCTGTTACACAAAAGGCATCCCAAGAAACACTAAAACATCTAGAACAGCCATG